CTGATTGGTTAAAAATCGTGTTTCTATAACTCAATGAAAACACACAACTGGCACAAGCTGTTGACATAATGATGGCATGTGCAAAGAAAATTTATTGATGATCAAAGTAAACAAGTTGTTTCCCTTTTTTTCGTTGCAGTATTTTCTAAAAGAAATAAAAAACATGTTCTCCATGTTTCTGTCAAGTTATAGAAACACTCGTGAAAGTTTGGGAGAACTTGAAAAAGCTGTGGAAACACTTACCTCTGGCTCGTGTTCCCACAGCATTTCCCGTTCTCCCAAACTTCCACTCATGTTTCTATGACTCGATAGAAACACGGTACATGTTTTCTATTTCTTAAGTACATATTACTCTGGAAGGAAAATTAAGCTCGTTTTTGATAACAAAATCCCAAAGGAATCCTTCACATCAGCAGTACTTACTTGAATGGATTATCAGTGCCACTTTTCTGGATAGCTCCCATGACGGTCATGCCAACCCTGTACAGCAGTGACACTGTTAACAGAGCCATGGAGAAGAACGTCAAAACACTCAGCAACGTGTACATGCTCAATGAAATCAAGAGAACCAGGCCAGTGGCAACCACAATTCCAGTCTTCTTCAGACAGCGCCAATAGATCAGGTCAATTACTAAAATAGAAAGAGATATGCACTATACAAACTGTTCACTGTTCAATGTTTGACATAAAAGGTGGCCTTCAAAAACTTAACTTAGAGATAGAAAACAGATTCCTTTTTGTTTTACGTTTTTAAGCTGCAGATGTACATGCATGGTTGCAAAAGACATCTCTTTTCAAAATTTCCTGACTTTTCCCTGATAAAAATAAAATTTTCCAAACTTGAGAAATGCAAAATGTCAGGTCTAGTAGCAGCTTCTTCCACTCGTTTATTAAGAGTGACAAGTTTCCTTTCTTCATTGAGGGAAAAAATAATATCATTGAGATCAATGACCCCAAGTTTTCTTCCAGCCTTCAGTGGTATTAAATCAGCTATATCAAATTATTTCAATATTCCCTAACTTTTCTTCAAAATTTCTATTTTCCCTGACCTTGAAGAATTTTTTCCCTGACCATTTCCTGACCTGTAGCAAGCTGACACAATACTAAAGCTTTCAGTTTTAATTTAACTTTCTGTTGACACATTGATGGCATGAGCAAAGAGAATATACATTGTGATAGTCAAAACAAAAGTCAGAATGATTTTTCTTGCTTTTTCTCAGTGTTTCCTAAATGAAAGAAAACATTTTCGGTTTCTACCTAGTTTTTAAGACTGCAACACAACATAGTGAATGGACCTCATTTTGATGTTTCTACTCTCCAAAGCTCAAGGATTAAAGGAAAAATACAAACATCAAAATAAGATCCACTGTCTTCTCTTGTTTGTTTAATCTCTGTTGTAATTTCCTCAGCTCTGTAATATAACTGAATAACTGTCAACAGCAATAAATTCATCTTCAGATTTAGCAATGGAAGTGAAATATTGTGTTTCAGACAGCTAAAAATAACCAAATCAAAGTTTTATTCACTATTTATGACAGATTGCCACATTTATTGAAAATATCAAACAAAAAAATATGTCACAGGGATGTTTAGAACTACAAAACAGAGCCACAGCAATACAAGAGCAATAGAAAGGAGTGCTTAGTCATGAATCATAAAGAAATGAGCTGACAATTGTGAGAAAAGAACTTCTTTCCAAGTTTAACTTTGCATTTGGAAGGGGTACCTGTAGAGTGCAAAATAATTTTTATTGTAGCCGGCTGGAGAAATACCATACAGAAGTCGAAAACATTGTCAATCAATTTCCTGTTAAAATGGAAACTAAAACAACAAAGGAACAGGCTACACGGTTGGTGCTACTTAGCAAGAAACCCAAGGCTGATTCTTCTGCAATGTAGGATTAAAACTTTGAATACACACACACAACAGGCTTGAGAGAAATATTGTAAACAGACCGGCAGGTGTAATGCAGAAAAGATAACTTCTTAAAGCAAGCTTGTATTATATTGTACTTTTACATAAAAATGACAAAGATATTTCATATGCACAATTGACTTTACTTCAATGAAGTCCGAGACTTTTCTTTTGAAAGAGAGAGAGGGGAAAAAAAAGGTTGAAGTTATTTTAAAGGCCCCACCCCAAATGTGAGGCAATAACAAAATATATGCTGGTTAGTTATAAATAATTCAGTTTGACAGAATCATAGAAAATAATTATTTCAGTCAACTGGAGAGCATTTTCTGAATATGAGGGGCAAATTTACAACACAGAACAATCGTGAATGGGAGAAAGGAATAATTCAGTTTGGTCAGAAAGTAAAATGGCCTGCTCAATAGAGCGTTGAATCTCATCACCATGAGGCGAGAAATCGGCAAACCATACTTATTACATTTAACAGCAATTGTCCCCATAAATATCTGGCCTCAGTTTACGATTTGATGAGCAAATGAAGTTTCCAATCACACGATAAAAGAGGGTGCGTCCGACTTCCATTATGTTTTCATTCTATAAGGCAGCGCCCCTAAAGCGAATGACCCATAATGGAGATTTCGAACGCCGTTCGTTCGCAGTCGCAGTCAATAAAAATGCTTTTCTTTATATTTTTTCTCTATTTAATTTTTTTTGGTACGATCGAAAAGCTGTATACAAAAAGCTTAAAAATCACTCTACACGTACAGTCAAGTACCTCGCTTGCCACTGCAAGTCGGTAATCTAAGTAAGGTAAATGCACTTTCACCTCAAAATGCACAATTGTTGAACGATACCTCTTTGATCCACTCCATGTTCTTTCATCCACCTCGCCGGCCGGCTTGTCAACTCTAAAATATTGCAAAATAGCAGCAATTAGAGTGAGATATAACGACGAAAACTCTTTCGACCTCCAACATCTGTGAACACGAGCAACGAAAGTCTATTCGTACCTTTGAGAGCACACAGACACAGAATTAAATGTTAATTTTCCTTCCTTCACGAGCAAAATTCACGATTTCATGAGGAAAGTATTACGATATTAGATGGTCGACCCTACAATCAAAATGTAATCCACAGACAAAGCTGTTTACCGCGCTTGTAATGTGCAAAACACCAGCACAACTAACAATCGTCTGCACGTTGAGCTTACCTTTCGAGGGCGTTTCTTCGGGTTTTTCTTCCGATTCTGTTTTCTCTGTTGGAAGATCTTCTACAGCTGACGTTTCCTCCTTTTCATCGGGCACCTTTTCACTTTCTGGAGAAGGCTCTTCGTCTTTTGCTGGCTCATCAAAACCTACTGTTGAAGAAGGCACATTCTCGTCTTCCATGTTGTTTGTGAAATCTAGCAAGTCGCTTGTATCTGGTACAGACTCCGACATATTGAAGATAAATAACCAAGAAACCCTTTAGCTTTTATTACACTGACTTTACAGATTTATGTTTAATAAAGCACCCAAAAGGTTGAATCTTACGCAAGAATTATGAGGAAAGTACGAAATATAGAGATGATGGACCTCGATGTTTTCAAAAATCACACTGGCGCAATTTTTTCACGGCCACGCCATATTTGGGAAACGGATGTAAATGAACCAATCAGAGAGGTCGTTATAATTCTTCCTTAATGATCGTCCATAAAAGGAAGTCTCAAAGTTCAGAGTTTGCGAGGCAAAAACTGCGCTCTTTTGCGATATTTTGTCACACTTTCGTTCTTTATATTACTAGAAAAACAATATCAATCGGCCTGTGAGTTTCCAGTTTCTATTTTAGAAATCGGAAGGACTTGAGGAAATTTTGAATGCTGTTAGGGGCGCCTCGAGGCAGCCTCGTTCCCAGGCAGTATTCGTCGCACGTGGGGGAGGTAAAGACACTCGTGCTGTTGTTGTTCGGTGAGCGTGTTTCTGAGATACTAAGTGCTCCAAAAATAACTTGAGAATAAGGACGGATAAGGGCTATGTGGGAGAATATTTCTCCTACCCTTCATCTTATTATTGCTCAATGCTAGCTGAGAGAAAGGCAGTCTACATAAATCACTTTTCTACCCAGTCTTTTCCACGAAAGTGTTTTGAAAACACTTTGGCTAGACTGGCTGCGGATGCTTGAAGGGGCGCCAACATCTTGGCCTGACACAAATGCAGTATGAGCAGTTACCACAGGAACGAACCTCAAGGGCGGGAATTCTTTAAATAGCATAGAGGGGCACTTCTTGGAAGGAGATCGGCTAATAGAACTAGCACTTCTTTAAAACTAATTTTTTCTTTTAACAGACGAGTAATGGTTTTGAACACCCGGTGATAGAATTACTCAGACGGTGGCTTGGAACACAGGTTTCCCTTAAAGAACAGCCTTCTGTTCGCTTCTCGGAACAGATCATGTTCCAGGACAAGCAACAGGGGAGTGCTTGGCTCATGATTCAGTGGACTTGAATTTGATATTAAGTTGTAAATCAACTCAGTGCTTTTCAGAGTTTGTAAAGCTGAAGAAGAGTTAACGCTCGAAAAGTCGACTTCCTTAATCAACATCAAGTTGATAAACCGATGGGTAAGTGTTGTACTTGTCTACTGACGAGCTCCTCTTGAACTGGTTCTCAAGAAAATAACTCCTATTTTGTGGAGACAATAGGTCAGCTGCTTCTATACCAAAAACACTGCAGGGGTTTAAAGTGTCTAAAATGTGTAAGTACAAACCGATGAGATCATAACTGGCCCAGGTTCACGAATGATGTTGCTGCGGTGAGATCGGCCGAATCTCTTGATTCGTGTTGGCATTTCGCCATTTCTAATAGCACGAATTGACTTAATTGGCATGCATCCGTAAGCAGGCAGCCTGAGGGAAGAAGATGTGTCCGTAACTGGTGCCCGCCGCTTACCGAGGGGAAAGAAGAGAGCCAAATCATAAATTAAAAAAAAAAAAAAATAATCAATTTAACTAACCTTGACCACATCAATGGGATTTGATGCAACAGCTCCTGCAAAACCTGCTACACCACTAGCACTGGAAAAANTTAAAATTAAAAAAAAAAAAAAAAAAACGAGAAAAGAAAACCACAATATTATATTGATTTGGAAAATTTATTTTATCAGTTCGTTTTGTATAAATTAAATTGATCATGCTGCTGTCAAGAACACAGTCTGCAAGATCCAAAGGATTGAGACATAAAAATTCAAAATAAAAATAATACAGAAATCATGTTAATATTATTATTCATATTAATAACATTTACATTATTATTGATTAATCAGAAGTTCAATCTTTCATTTGCTGTAGTCTGTCGTATGAAAGAGGCAAAGGTATTTTTTCCAGATCGAACGCTAATGTATTTATGAACATTACAATGAAACTGGGCAAAACTAAATAATTGCTTCGAAACAATAATAACTCAGTTCGATTCAATCAATTTGAATATCTACTTCACTCTTCAAGCTACATTTCCTTTTTGTCTCATTCGCTTGCAGGTTCTCCTGAGTCTGTGCTCGTTGTCTGTTTTGGCTCCTCGCCTAATTCCTCGTCTGCTGTACATGTTTCCATGGTGACGTCAACGGATCTCTCGTGCGGCAGCAAAGCTGGATCACGTGATGCTTCTATGGTCAGCAGGCCTTCTTTCGACAAGTGTGACGTCACTGAGCTTAGATCAACGTCATCGGGCAGCAGAATACGACGACTGTAGTCACGTGACAGGTAGAAATCGTCACGCTCCGAGAGGTGTTTCCCAGTGATGTTCAACTCATTTCCGCGGAGTTGGATCTTGATCTCTTCTGGTTTAAAACCACTGAAATCTAACTTGGCCTCAAATTTCCCTTCGTCAACTTTTTCCTCCACCTGTTTCTTGCCCTCGATTACGAGAGCGCAGCCATCTCGGCTAGTGCGTGACTTGACTGTTTTTGGATCTATACCCTGAGGTAGTCTGAACACTCTCTTGAACTCGCTTTTCTCGAATCCATCTTCTCGTTCGAATTGATGCAAGCCATGTAAGATGACCTTTTCGTTATCCACCTCAAGCGAGATTTCTTCAGGTTTGTAATGACTCAGCGGTACAGAGGCAATCTTTGTTGGTCCCTGATCAGAATTTCGTGCTTGCTGTTCGTAAGGGCGGGCGATCTCTTTCCATAGATCGTGGAAAAAGTCATAGCCTCTGTGAGCTCGGTTGTAGTAGCTGCAAGCAAAGAAAGAAAACGATTGTTATAAATTATTAACTGAATGCAAAAGAAACCAGGGACAAGACTTTCCAACGTAATTGTTTTAGGACGATTACCGAACTCTGCATGCTTTTTATTTCCACTACTCAAAGCATAAGATAGTGGAAATTTTGAATATAACACACTGCTCGAGAGAAAGCGCCTAAAATCATTCGAAACGCAAAGAAATATTTGCCCCTGACCGAGGGCTCAGAAATCTAACTCAATATATAGCAAAAAGCTGTTAAACTTTTACAAAGCATGCTCGAATGAAAACTGCTTCAAAAAATACCTGCATGGATGATAGCTTGGAAATCTGAATACGAGAGCCATGCTGTCTAGGACTTCTCTTGATATTTTTCTCTTTTGTCTTGTTTGCCTTCTCTGAAAACTTGGTGAACTGTTGATCGGTCTACTGAAAACCCCTTATATAGCCGACGATCTTCTTCTAGAACGATCGAAAGTTGCTAAAATTAAACCATTAGGTAAATGATTCGTAAGAATGACTGTGTAAAATTTTTTTTTCTCTGGTAAATGTGAGAATTTTCCCGCCAAATCGAGAAATTTCGCCAGCCTAATTTATGACAATTTATTACGCGCGAAAGGGATCACGGGGAAATCACGCGTATTTCAAAACAAATATGGCGGACTTACAGTAGCTACTGTCAGAAGGTAAATACAATAATTACACCAGACTGAAATGTGCTCTGGTCAGCCTAAATACCACTTTGGTTATCTTGAACAGAACTCCGGTTACCCTGAGTACTTAGCGTTTCGGTTAGCTTAAGTTTTGTGAGTTTTGCGCTGACTTTTTTGCAATGGTCAGCTCTTTGATATCGATCTTTAACACCAATCGATGAAAAACGATCATTGGAAGGCAATCGATATAATCAATTTTAATTAATCGATTATTATTCACTTCTTTAATTAATCGATGAAAATCGATACTCACAATTCAAATCCTCGTATTTGCTCTCGATTACATCCATATTCAGTCGGCAAGTCTTGAAAGGGGCTGGATACTTTCAATTTTCTCTTCAGCAGACAGTGTACGTGTCAGGCTAGCTGGCTTCGTGCATAACTCCCTATAAGTCATGCTGATAGAGGGAGCTGTGATCAAAGGTAACTGTGAGTGTGACGGTATTTGCAAATTTAACATTGTAATTTCGAAAGAAAAATGGGCTTGAACATTTAAAAATTTCCTCTTAATTCTTTTGCTTTCATCCTGAACCAGACAAATCTATTGTGCAGCGTGCAATGCATGAACCTGATTGTAATTTGGTGATATAACACCAAGAAATACTGACAGAAGTGCAGTTTTACTGTATGAAGATTGTTATTTGTTTAAACTCTTTCTCTATCTGGGGCGAATGGCCTCCTTCAGCAGCTGTTATTTGGGTTGTCATGCAATGCATCACACAATGCTTCTCAATAATGTCATCAGACAGCAGAAGTGTTTTGTGACAATTCAAGTAACGGTTATGAAGGAGACTGCAGTTTGAACTGTGGGGCAGAATGGAATATTGCCACGATACAGGTTTCTATAAAGTTACATCAGGAGCTTTAAATTATGGCCGTAGGCATGATTACCAGTCGCTGTGCAGGAAAATGAGCCTGCACACTTCCCCCAAGTTCTTCTCTCTGTGAAAGTAAAGTGTCTTTCCCTAGAACACGGCAGAATGACACTAGCCAAGGCTTTAACCCAGACTGCTTGATCTGTAGCTGAGCCTGACCTGGAATAACATCAGATAGGTGGCACAAGACTGCTCTAACTGGGAAAAGACTGTAAAGGCCTTATGCATTCCATGGCCTGGGGAGCAGGGATGGAGCAGTGGTGAGAGCGCTCGCCTCCCACCAATGTGGCCAAGTCCAGCCTGGTGCCATATGTGAGTTGCGTTTGTTGTTGGCTCTTGCCTTGCTCCAAGGGTTTTTCTCTGGGTTCTCCGGTTTATGTCCCTCCACAAAAAAT